ACGACTTTACCATGACCACGGTGAGCTTTCTTTTCTCGCAGCAAACCACAAGTCTTGGGCCGTACAATGGAGGGAGCAGGGATGGAGGAATTCACAGTGGGTCCATGCAAAGAGTTTTTCAGCTTGAGCTGCAGCATTTTGGTTTCAAAGGGTATAGAAATTCTCTTCATTGTCAGAGAATCACTGTGCAGTCTCACACGTTGGAGCTGGACTGTCTGATCCTTTTTGTGTTGCAGAGGGTTTTTGTATATTTGTACCTTTTCAGGGCGGTGCTGCTGGGGCTCCCAAGGAGGTTCCCATGCTTCCCTGACTTCTGCAGTGTGCTTAATACTGGAGCGGACTGGGGCTGCCTTGCAGGTGTTCTGCAGCATGCTGACAGTTAAGAGGAACTTGTCAGGGGACACCAGACAACTTGGACCTCTTCTCTTTACATGCTGCAAAGTGGCTTCTGCCCTGTCAGCACGTGCAGGTGCATAGAGGGAAGGGCCATGTTCAGATTTGCCATCTGTTTCCAAAAATAAAATACAGTTGAAGTCAAGGATAGTTTTTGCGATCATTGTTGGCAGAGTAGTACTCTGAAGAAGACCAAGAATGTGTGCTGGACAAACAGGCATATGGACAGGCCAAGTTTATCTACAGAATGAGCAGTGGAGGAAGGTACAAGCCAGTGGTGCCCATTTCAGTTTGCTCAGCCTTAGCCTCGCTAGTGATGCTGCCAGCATCAGAGGGAACTCTGTCTTGGCTGACTGAGAAGTATTCGACCTACACAGATCAAACTAAAGTCAGATTCGATAACATACATTGTGTTCTGTGTGGACAGCTTGGTATCCACCTTGTTTGAAAACATGGTTTCTGAAAGGAGAGAGGTTCCCCACCACCTCTTCCCATGCATCCCTTTCTTGTCCTACACTTTGTGCATTGGGAAAAGGCTTCAAGACAAGTCAGTTCCTGGTAGAAATCCTTGAAGCAGCCAACACTTGAGAACCACTTTGAGCCATTACTGCTCAGAGCTGCATTTGAATTGGAAATCACAAGACATGCTTCATAGCCTAGCTTTGCTGTCTCAGGGGATGGAGTGACCTGTGCTGTATGACAGACATCAAGATGGATTGTGTGATTATGCCCTCGACTAAGAACTAGATGGGGATTATGACATAGATTGTGTAAAATGCTCAGTCCCGTGGCCTCACCACAGTGATTCATTCGTCACTTTGCTTTGCAATGTGACGAATTTTGACGCTGTTCGCGTATATCATTGCTTTGCAATACAATTCTGGTTTTCCAGGCTGGTTAACTGAAACTTCTGCCCTCTGGAAATGTATATCAGAGAACATAAAGTGTAGAAAGCCAGAATACAGCAAAACAAACTAGTGAAAATTACTACTTGTTCCTCATTCACAGAATTTAGAACTGTTTTATCTGCACATCCATATGACCCTGCATGTTAATTACAGACACCAGGAGTTCGGTGTTAGAGACTTCGGGTTGGTACAGCTCTTCTGAAGTAAGATTTCAGAGTATGTCTTAAACATTAAGATCCCAACAGATCCTGAATATAAAACCTGAGAAAAATCAACTTGAGACAAATGCCATATGGCCACAGACAGTGTTTGTGATCTCAGTACTATCTCATTTTCAAGTTTCAGGTTGCCACATCGTTGCTGGCTGAGGCAATTGACATTTTTTTTTTAAACAAATTTCTGTGTTATTGCTACTGATTAAATAACAACTCCTTGAATCAATTTTGTGCACAATTCTCCTACACCTGTTAAAGAAATCAAAAAATAGAAGAAGGATACAGTAAAAAATAGATACCTAGATACCAGAGAACTAGGCTTTGTAGCTCGAGCTGATCACTTGGCCTGTTTGACTGATCTAAAGCAGCTTCTGTAGCCATCACGGACTCTGCAAGTGATCTGTTTTACCCTGCAAACCTTCCAGACATGGGCCTGTCTTCTAGAGATCCTTACCTTTCGGTTAATCCATCCAGTTATCTTAGGCGCACTTCTTTGGAGAATTACTGTTTTACCTGGCTGCAAAGAGTCCTTACCAGTCTCTGCTAGGATTCTTGCAGAATGCACTCTTGCGGACTTTCCCGAGGCAAAGGCATGGGGTTGTGTGGTGCCAGGAATGAAAAGCTTTTTCTGCCGCTCTGCCTGAATACGAAAAGCCTTTTCGATCTTGAGAAAAGGCTGCTGTTGTGGGCAAGCTGCTGATTTCATCATTTCGTAGCAGAGCGCTAGAAAACAGAAGAAAAAGTCAGCTCTCAATTTCACTGGTGTTAATTTTTTTTTTAATTAAATAAAATCTTTGTAACTCATGGGATTTCAAGTCTTTGGTTACTATTTTGCCTATTATCACAACTTCTAAATGTCTAGATATTAGAAATAATCCAGAGATACTTATTAGCAGAAAACCTCACAGAATTCAAAGATGACAGCAAATGTTGATTTTTTTTTAAAGTATTATGTATACACAACCCATACTTTTTTGCTACTGAAATTAGAATATAGTGCGCTCCCTGTTTGTTGCTTGTTTCTATAAACTGTATATCTTTTACCAAGTAGAGCTGCATCAAGGAGGTTAGCATCTGATGGCCTTAACAGCATGAAAACTTTCTTAGCCCATCAGTTTATCTGCAATACACAGTTTGATTGTAGAGCTGAAATATTTGTGATGCATACTGTATTAAATAACTACTGAATTTAAAAAAATAACATCAGTTTTACAATTTAAAAGGTGCCTGCTTATGTGCAGTTGCATTTCCCGGTGACAGCAGATCCTCAATGCAGGTGTCCTATGACTTTCTAGAGTATTTTCTAATAAATAATTCAAGCACTGAGTCAGCGGCATGTTTCCGTGCACACCAGCTGTAAGAATATGAATACTACTACTGATTCTCTATTACTCAGTTAGAAAGTGACAGTGCCTGTCTTGAATTTATACCAAACCTTTCTAAAAGGTACAAAGGTTTTACAAAAGCCTAGAAATTACAGAACCATTGAAATGCAACAGCACATCTACCAGACTGCGCTTTGAAAAAGCGGAAAGCCTGTATATTGATTAGGATGAAGGCAGTGGGTACTTGAAATTAGAATCATAAAGGTTGGAAAAGACCTTTAAGATCATCACATCCAACCACCAACCCAACACCACCATGCCCAACTATTTCTAACTCATTTTAGAAAACGATGCAGGTGTATTGCAGAGGCTGTACGTAGTACTTTGAGATGCTCCACAGCCTTTTGGTGACCGGATCCAGCAAGACAGCATGAGCTGGTCAGCATCTCGTGTCTGCAGAGCAAGTCGATGCATCTGGCTGACGCCATGGCGTTTCGTTCGCTGAAGGTGAAGCGGTGTTCTGCTTGAAATCCTGTTGTGCTGGTTTTTCTTCCCCACTGTCTCTCGGTCAGCCTCTAAGGTATAGTCCCACCTGACATCCTCAAACTGGAACATCAACAGACTCGTTGGTGAATTGATCACCATCCTGGAGAAGGGAAGGAAAAGCAGAGTTAAGAGTTAGAAGCAGAGTCATCAACACAGCAGTTACTACCCAAGGGGCCCATTTGCTTCTGTGCAATTCAAAACTGGAGGATGCTTAAGCAGATCCAAGATAACCGTCACTTGTTTAAGGAAGTAGTAGCAATTAGTCCCATCAGTCAGACGCTGTACATTTTAACTCATACTCTGTACGAGCTCTACAGGGCTCTTTTCAGTCAGCTCTAGAGCAAAATTAGTTTTAAAATAATTAGAATGGAAATTGCCAACAGTGGACTGAGCTAGATGAGTGCAATGCCAAAAGGAAACTGCGGGTACCACATCATTAGGGTCATTTAAACCTAAATTGGAGTGGTATTCTGGGTCTGGTTGGGATGGAGTTCATTTTCTTCATAGCAGCCCATATATTGGTGTGTTTTAGAGTTCTGACCAAAACAGCAGATAACATGCCAGTGTTTTAGCTATTGCTTACACAGAAGCTAGGAACTACATTTATTTAGACATGCAGAAGTAAAGGAACCTGGAAGTATTTTCCATGATTGGCTTTTATAAAGAGACAGTAGGTCAGGGAACAGGTAAAGGCTTTGTCAGGTCTTAGCTTGATTCTCCAACCTCTTAACAAATTTGGGTTCTGAATGCAGTTTTACAGTTGGATCTATATCTTAAGTTGTATAGAAACAGAAAATTTTAGATTGCTGAAAGCACTAATCAAACCTATTTTCAGCCATTGTAGTGGAGCCCTTTAAAACTTATTTGTGAGAAGGACAATAAAAGGAAAAATACACAATTCTTTCCATTGCAATGTAAGCTACCTAATTTGGCTCAGAGGCTGACTGCAGCTGTTGTCATTGTCATGGTTTAGCCCCAGCCGGCAACTAAGCCCCAGGCAGCCGCTCGCTGACAGGGAAGAGAATCGGAAGAGTAAAAGTGAGGAAACTCATGCTTTAAGATAAAGACAGTTTAATAGGTAAAGCAAAAGCCACACACGCAAGCAAAGCAAAACAAGGAATCCATTCCCCACTCCCCACGGGCAGGCAGGGTTTCAGCCATCTCCAGGGAAGCAAGACTCCATCACGCGTAATGGCTTCTTGGGAAGACAGACGCCATCACTCTGAACGTCCCTCCACCCCTTCCTTCTTCTTGGTCCCAGCTTTATATACTGAGCATGACATTATATGGTATGGAATATCTCTTTGGCCAACCTGGGTCAGCTGTCCCAGCTGTGTCCCCTCCCAGCTCCCCATGCACCCCCAGCCTGCTCACTGGCAGCCCAGCACGAGGAGCTGGACTGTCCTTGACTGCTCAGCAACAGCTCAAAATATCAGCACGTTATCAACATTTTCTCATCCCAAATCCAAAACACAGCCTCACACTATCTTCTGTGAAGAAAATTAACTCTACCCTGGCTGACACCAGGACAGTCACCAACCTGTTTCCTGCAACATAGAAGGAAGATATGGGGTCCCCTCTGCTGTTGGCCATCAACACTTTCAGGCAGCTTCCAGTCAGGTAGTTAAATATACGAATCTTTCCATCAGCACAGCCGCTGATGACTCTGAGATAGAGGAACTCCAGAGACAGAACTTCCCTGAAAAAAACAACATGTCAGCATTGGTACATTCATCATGCTTTCACTGGGAGACATGATCTGCTACCCCTTATGTCCTGGAAGGGATGCAAAGGTCTGCCTCCATCAACAGGCTAAACAAAGAAGCTCATTGATATAATTAAAAGGCTGACTAGTGAAGTCCTTCAAAATCACTCCATGTCCAAATCAACGCAGCACATCCTCAGAGCAACCAGTGTGGTTATGGCCAGCTGCTGCATTTTAAATTTCATTTTTATGAAAGTAAATGAAAACAATAAGATGCTACAGTTTTCAGAGTTCTGATAAGCAATTAAAGTATTAGAAAACAATATACTATACAGTTGGTAGGGTTCAGCATGTAACTCAGCCACCTCTGACAAAGCATCTTATCTTGACCAGGTAGCATGATACCCTCTTGCACACAGGTTGGGATCCTTGAAATACTGGACTATGCACTGTCAGTCTTCCATCATCCCTGTTTGTGAACAAGCGGTTGCATATTTGCATTTCAGGTTGTTAAAGGTCTTAACTGACAAACTGGTTGCGACCACGTAGCACCTGACACCGTTTTAAAGATTAAGATCATTGACAGTGGCGGTATTTCAAATCCTAAGACTGATAATTAAGGCATTTTGTGTTCCTATAAGGGAGACATTTTCTTTACAGTTTTAGTGGGCTGTTGAATACAACTCGGAACACATCCGATTCCTACTTAGGGTGGCGGAAAGCTATTAGGCATCTCTTGAGGTTTCCCAACATGCTCCATCCCAGGGCGTATCCGTCGGTGCTTCCTGTGACTAGGTGCCACTGATCAAAAGACAGGCACTTCACTGGGCCTTGGTGCCCCTCTAATGTCTGCAAAATAAAAGACATAGGTGCAACGCTGTCAGCAATCTGGATGTAAACATGCCAAGATATCTTACGGCATTCGCCATACCAGCCTCATATACTACATTGTAGTTTTATCAGGTGGTATTATAATATACCAATACACCCTCTGGATGACCGTGTAGTTTTATAGTCACAAGAAATATTCTGGGCTTGTTGCTGATGAGCTACTGGCATGGAATCAGCATACATTTTCCGTCTTTACTACACATGCTAAATATGTGTTACCACGCTGAGACTTTTGTCATCTGTTGAATGTTCACCAGGAGCAGAGAGTGGACTCCCCTGACTATCATGGAAGGGGCAATTGCAAACTTCGCTCAGCTGGAGCTGGGATCTCTTGCATCTGAGATGTGTCTCAATTTGCAACACTCTGTCCTCCAGGTAGAAGGAGCTTCACTCCTCTCAGCTGCGGACTAATCCTAATTCTGGACACCTGCAAAGGTAATGAGCAGTCTCTGCCCCCAGTCTTTAAATTGCAGAGCAGCTCTCCAGCTGCTTCAGCTTTATACACCATTACCAGTTTTGAGAGCAAGTTGCATATTTTGGGCAAATAGATGATACGTCCAACCCTGAGATCTGTTAGTCAAGCCCTCCCACGCTCTTCCCAGGTTCTGAATGTTTCTGCAGGAGCAGGGATGAATATATCTACAGAGAACAAGTAATGATGGGGGTAAGCAAAATCAGAAATCTATGCTAAACTTGCACAGAAGATTTTTGACCACTCAGCACAAGATTATCCACCGAAGAAGCTTACTTTGATCAGGGTGCCCGTAGCAGCACACCAGACTTTCACCAGCCCTCGGTCACACCCACTGACAACACGGGTGCCATCCATTTTAACTACCCAAACAGCGCTGCTGTGCTTCAGAGTCTTGAGACATTTCCCACTCTCCAGGTTCCACACTGTTAGGGGCAAAGGGGAGAAATACTAAAAATTAAAAATACATATCCCCCAATGATAAGTTTTGCCAAGTACAACATGAATTAAAAGATACTGTTGGAATTACAGTTGCACCTTGTACCTGCAGCTCTGCATGTAGCCAAGTGTTGACTTAAAAAGTATAATTGCGTGGCAAAAATTTTAAATATTAAATTTAAAATTTTTTAAAAAATTTAAAGTCCAGAAAATAGCACATCCCTATTCTATAAGCTAATAATAAGGAAACGTCTGGCAAAGCTGAAAGTCGATACCATTTTCCCAAAAGTTGGTCCAGCCCTATAGCCACAAAGCCATTAAGACTGAATAAAAGCAGAAATAATGAGAATTTATTCAATGACACAGAGACCTTGCGTGTGCATGTGTCCACAGCTTGGGCTGTTCTGGAAGCAAAAATACGAGACGCTAAAATTCGCCCTCCAATTTATAGACTTATTTTCATACTTTCACGCTGCATGTGTCTCACTCATCACAACTCTCAAGTGCTCTGCCCGTTGCTCGCTGCTATTTGCCTTTGTCTGGGAAGCTGCTGGCCTCGGCTCTCACCTTTCACCATCCCATCCCTGGCCCCCGACACAAACTGTTCTTCATGCAGATCCAAGCAGGTGATTGTCCCACAGTGACCGTTGAAGATTTTCACACAAGCACCACTGTATATATTCCAGCATCTACAAAGGACCAACGGGAAAGGGAAAACAGTGATTAACTTAACTGATGGCTTATTAATCTTATTCTTTCTTTACCACTTAACAGGCCCAGCATTTCTCCCATACACACCAGGCTAAAATCAGGAGTCATTCCACAGAGGTGTCGGAGGATTTGGAACAATCAAGTCAGGTTCAGTATTAAATTTTTACCCATATACTTTGTTCTTTTACCTCCAAACTGCTTCTAAGCATGTGGCTAGATTTCACCTTTGGCGTGGTTACCTTCAGTTAACCTTAAAACGTAGAGCTTTACAGACAGGATTGTTTTTTTACTGACTGCTGCCAAGATAATTTCTGTTGACTTTGTTTAGAAAGCTCAAGCCTGCACTTAAACAAACAGCCCTTCTGGAGTGGGAAGAGCAGGGAGGACAGAGCCCGAGTCAGTATAACCTCCCTTTTTGTTAAATGCTGCCTTTGATGAAGCTGTGCAATTGCCATGCCAGAGCTGGACGACCTGCTGTTTAGCTTTTCATCCCTCATCATGATACTTTGGAGATTTAGTGATAGATAAAGTTGTAAGAGCTGATCATCTCCACCCTTTGTTTCAGGGTGCACTCCCTGGAAGGGAGCAGCCGTACAGCAAGGTACCAGGGTGTTGACCCCGCTTAGTGCAACAGGCCTTCCAAAATGCCGCAGAGAAACCCAACCTCCCTGATGCTGACCTTAGCAAGGCCAGAATCTCGCTGCAAGTGCCTATGGGAAACATAGCTGGTGTTTTAAGACGCTTTAGGGAAACCTGTGCACCACTTATCTTCCTATTTACCTTTCAGTACTGGGTGGAACTAGGACACAGAAACTGTCTTGTGTGAGTAGCGAATGTGTTTCCTTACCTACTGTCCTTCATTACTCTAATGAAAATGATAGGAAGGAGGATTCCTAATGATTGGGGTGAAAGGATTAAAGTTTCACAGAATCATTAAGGTTGGAAAAGACCTTTAAGATCATCAAGTCCAACCACCAACCCAACACCACCATGCCCACTAAACCATGTCCTGAAGTGCCACATCTACATATTTTTTGAACACTTCCAGTGATGGTGACTCCACCACCTCTCTGGGCAGCCTGTGCCAATGCCTGACCACCCAGTAAAGAAATTTTTCCTAATATCCAGTCTTAGACCTCCCCTGGCACAAAACTTGAGGCCATTTCCTCTCGTCCTATCACTAGCTAGTTGGGAGAAGAGACCAACCCCCACCTCACCACAACCCTTTCAGGTAGCTGTAGAGAGCGATAAGGTCTCCCCCTCAGCCTCCTCTTCTCCAGACTGAACACCCCCAGTTCCCTCAGCCGCTCCTTGTAACACTTGTTCTCCAGACCCCTCACCAGCTTCGCTGCCCTTCTCTGGACACACTCCAGCACCTCAACATCCTTCTTGTAGTGAGGGGCCCAACGCTGAACACAGTGTTCAAGTACTCATTTTTCCTAGATTTGCCAAGGGGCTGGTATCCCAGGGCACAGTCCCCGTGCTGCTCACCTGATGCTGAGATCAAAGCTTGCGCTGAGAACAAACCCTTTCTTCTCATTGAGGAAGAGTGCTTTGATGCTCCCAGCGTGGCCAGAAAGCGGAGGAAACACTTCTTTCATCCCTGACATACCAAGAAGCCTCACTTTTCGGTCTGCAGAGCCAATGGCTACCAAGTTTCCACCACTGTAATGGATTATTCTGCTTCGGTCTGATCTGGATAAGAAACAGTGACTGAGGTGAGCTTTAGCCAGCTAACAAGGTACAACAGGTCTAAGACCATGACATGCATTCCTCTGATCCTTAATAGTCCTCGTTGACGGGCAGTACGCTTAAATGCGTGAACTCTTTGCAGGACCCCACAACCAAGGTCCATAGTTTTGCATAGCCGTGTTTGCATCTGGAGGGTAAGCTTAAAGAGGGGAGAGGGCTCCTCCCGGCCCCGTATCGCTTGTGGGGATCTCACTGTGGATCACTAACCCTTATGTCTTTAAAAATGACTTCCCTTGGTATCTTTATAAATAACTGGATTTGAAACGGAGGATTTCTTAACAGTGATGCTGAGAGACCCTTCTCCAGCCATACATTCCCACAGGAGGATCGCAAGGAATAGGACAAGTTTTCAGAAGCCACTCTTTGGCCCTGCAGCCGGGTACTCTACTCACTGGTCTGTGAGGACACGAATATTGTAGGAGCCACAGAAGACATTTCTCTCTTCCAGCTGAATCGTGTCAGTTTGCAGATCATGGTAGGCTGCCTGCAGATTGGTTTCCTCCTCCTGATGGGAAGAGAAATAGGGAAACGTAAGTCAGGGAGCGGGGAATGCAGCATTATTCCATAGTATTAAAGGTATCAGGTTGGGTCTCAGCGCTACAGTGGGGACAACAGAGGCGGAAAGTGTTGGTAAGGAACACCCGGAGTGCAGGAGCTTCCTGGTTAGTGCAGAAATGAGGGTTGTCCCCATGCCACGTTCTGTGGCAAAAGCAGCAGACCAGACAGCTGCCCTCTATTCTTTGGGGAAAAGGCCATGTCCTCGTGACGCTGCCCATGTCCTCGTGACGCTGCCCAGCCTTGCCAGCACCTCTGGCCTCAGGGCTATCCATGCGACTGCGGGGGACACAGTCAAGGCAGGAGTTCAGGGACACAGGCTCCCTCCCATGCAAGAAGGGGCTGAGGAAACATCGGTCCGTACAAATTGCTCACAATGGTGCAAGCCAGAAGCAGGAGTGGGAGAAGAGCAAAGCAACCCCGAACTCAGTCCTGTCTTCCAAGACCACCGTGTCCTCCTTCTTCCCCAGGACCTGAAATGCAGGATCCCTGGAAGGCAAACGACTTCCCACATACCTCTGTTTTACTTATCCAGTTGTGGCCTTCCACTTCCATGACATATCCCTCTTCATTTAACTGCGGAATTGTCACATCAACAGTTTTAGCATAGTTTGAAAGCGCTCCTCTAGGGCACAACCCCTGGAATAAGCCAGCAGAGGCAACACAGTCACTGCAGAGCCCGCACGCACAGAGGGTGCTGCTCACGTGTTGATGCTTCAGCGTCTCCATGGGATGCTGAAGTTACACGCAAAGCTGAGCTGCACACATTGGCTTCCTGTTATTTTTTAAGAGATCTGGCTCGCCTTCACCACTTTGTTGGTATAAGGTTTAACCTCTTGTTAAAAATAATTGCTTTTTGTTTTTTTTTCCAAACTCTAGCTTAACCTTTTATTAAGCTGCAAAACTCCATTTCAAAAGAAAAAAAATTTCAAAGCGCATCTCATCTTTGGTGAGCCCTCCATTGATTGAGAATCCAAACCCACTGAGATAAGAGGCTCTCGAAATATCTTTATCAATATCTAAGATTCATTTTTAATGTGTGAAGCCTTCCATTAAGCCTTCTTTGAATGCTAACCCGGAGCTGAGATTTCCATGCTCTCTTCACAAATCAAAGCATGAAGAGACCCCTAACTTTGCCTCTTTGGGGATTTACCTTTACACTTAGCATGACCCCATGGCAGGTCTGTACTAACCAGGACAAGCCTTTCCTAGAAGTTTGGCTTTACTGTGTCCCAACCACCAGCTCTGACTTCTCACAAAGAAACCTAGCGTTCCTGTCTTCCTACTTGGAGCAAATAAAGCTCATTGTTCCAGCTGCCTCAGGGAGCCATGGTAGCTCTGCCCAATTTCCACTAGCGCCTGGAAGTCCAGTATTTGCATTTGTGACCAAACGCTGTTTTCTTGATTACAAGAATGTTTTGATCCATTTTTAGAGTTGCAAGTTCTCTAAAGATCATTAAAGGCTATTCTGTTGTGCTGACTTAGAATCATAGAATCATTAAGGTTGGAAAGCACCTCTAAGATCAAGTCCAACTGTCAACCCAACACCACCATGTCCACTAAACCATGTCCCAAAGTGCCATGTCTACAAGTTTTTTTGAACGCCTCCAGTGATGGTGACTACACCATTTCCCTGGGCAGCCTGTTCCAATGCCTGAGCACTCTTTCAGGAAAGAAATTTTTCCTAATATCCAATCTAAATTGTGACAGTATAAACATCTAACCTGGCTCAGCTCTGCAGATGGAGGAAGAAAGAACAAGGTGAAGTTGAGAGGTGGCCTCCAGTAAAGGCACCTCATCTAAAGGCTTGGGCAGTAACAGAGAAACACTCTTTTTAAAGTGCATAATGGCAGCAGAAGCACAGACATCATACCTGCAAATACAGGATCTTCTCCTGTACTAGGCTTTGACTCACACGTTCCCTCTTGACTTCTTTGGCCAGAAAAGCCCAGCATCTACTCACAGCAGCACATGCCTTGAGGGATTTTTGATCCAAAAGCGCTGAGGAATTAAGAGACAGATTGACAAACCCCTAGACACACTAGAGCCCATTGGTTACCCTTACAGGAAACCACCCGTGGAAAATCAGAGCAGCTTTACCCAGGATGTACATGGACAGGTGAAGTGGCAGGCAGCGAATGAAGTCCTTGGGTGGGTTGACATTAGAGGGTGTCTGGAGAGATGCAGGAACCACAACATCCTCTTGATCGGCTGAGGACATAGCAGGTGAGCTGTTCTCTGCATCAGAACCCTCCTGGATGAGGCACTCGGTGTTTTGGGGCCAGAAGCACATTGCTGGTGGTGGACCACCTAGAAGTGGAGATATTGACAGAGAATTGACAGTCTTGCATGCACTCGAGCTTCGGTGGCTATTAACAGTACTGTTGTTAGTAATGCTCTGCAAGAGTTGGTTGATCTTAATCTGACTACTCTTCTGCTAACCCCTTTGGTACTGTACCATCCGCCAGAAAATGCTGAATCCATACAGTGTCTTGCCGGACCGTTCACACCAGTGGGGTTGGAGGGCAGAGAATGACAACTCTTCCTGCTCACCACCACCTGAAGGGTAGCGAGGGCTCTTCACAGCTGGAAAAATCAGGTGGTCCAAGGGGCCACAGGAGACGCTGGGTGGGCTTGGTGGGGATGGAATGGGACAGTTCTCCCTTTACAAACACACACTCTACTTCTTCCACCTCTATCTACAGCAGTCACCAGCATGGGAGGGTGTCTGTCCCAGACACTAAGGCAGGATATCAAAACAGCCTCATGGCAAGGACATAGCACTTCTTTCCTGAAAAGAGTGGAAAACCTTCTCTTCCTTTAGCCATTAGATTTTCTTCAGTAAAAATATGACTTGGGTTATGACATTGCAGAAGGAGAAGAAGAAAGGGGGACAAATTTCTCTCTTGCCCCCAAGATAACGGAAGGGTAAACACAGCTAACACCCTTCTCACATCAGTAGTTTTTGCTGGTGTCTATCTATACCTCCGGGCATCTTTGCCAAACTGCAACCCAGGTTGCAACACCAGCCACAGTGCTACCTTCTGAAATTCAGGTTGTGCTGGTGGAAGACCTTAAACCTGACAGAACATCTCAGTCCATGCCCTCCTCAGGAGCAAAAGGAGACACACTGTCCTACATCTCTTTACCAAGAGCATCCCATCAGCACCTCAGCAAACTTGGGAAGTAACTCAGAGCAAAGACAAGCATCCGTCGAGTGGCATCACCTCCCCTTACACGGCACTGCTTTGAACGTTCCACCTAATTATTGCCATGGTCTGCCATGCTTTTTTTTACCCCCAAAGCAAACAGAATTGTTCCTAGGCAGTGCCAGTTGTTAATGTTCTGGGACGAAACCCCGTAGATTTTTCCCAGAATTAAATACTCAGGTAGTGGTACCCATCTTACTAAGCTGGCCAGTTCTTGCAGATGAGGTTTTACTTTTAAGGGCTGTGGAAGAAGTGCTAGCAGACCATAGTGGAAATCGAGCATGGGCACTGGGCTGAGGACAGCCGTCTTCATTGAAGCTGCGTTGGGATTCAGCAGATGGTCCACCAACATCATCTTCCTCTGAAAGAATTAAGCAAAGAATCAAACCTTACAATCACAGTAGGTTTCTTGGAGCTGAATTAGAAGACTGCAGAATGTAGAATAGCATATTAAGAATCTAATAAATAAATTATGCTATATTATTTATTCTATCCCTTCTAGCTATACAGAATTAGTCCCTTCAACACTTTCTTCAGTATGGGTTTCATTACTTAAAACATTCCACTCACAGCCCCCGCGCCTGAGATGCATTGCCCAGAAGAGTTCATGAGGAAGTTTCTTTCATTACGTTTGTTGTCATCCATACTTCGCTATAGGCTATATTCATCTCCCCTTCAATGGTCACCTCATTCACAGGGTTCCTGCACGCTGGGGCACTCATACAGGCCAGCCCCGAGTCCCACCTGGCCCCATCTCCTGCTGTCAGGAGCACCCCATTCCTTCCACGACCTGTGCTCGCCCCTGCCTTTGCCCACTCGTGTCCTGCAGCTGGAAGGATCAGAGATCGAAACGATACCAGATTTACTGTATTAACCAGAAGGTTAATAGCACGTGGCAAATCAAGCCACAACTCATAGTTATGTTGGATGGGCTGCTCCTTTCGGCACTGACCCTTTGTACCACCTGCACAGGGAATTTGCCATGTGCAATAAAATAAAAAAAGAGAGGGGAACAGCCAGAGCAGCAGTGTCGGGAGGGAACCCAGCTGGGTAATGCTACCTCCACCTTAGCATCACCCCCAGACCACGGTGCTTGTACCCTCGGGGTGCACAGCCTGGACACCTCCTCCGGCTGCAGGCTGGCCCAGAGCACACCCCGAAAAAGCTCAGAGGCAGGTCTCCATCTCCGGGACGAGCAGCTAAGGGTGACCGTGGCACGCCATGTTCCCCAGGGGACACGAGACACGCTCACGGACACTCCTACTGCTCTGCGAAGAGCGGCCCGTTCCCCAGAGGAGGAAGAACACGGGCTGGGTGCCATTCCTCTCCACCAAAGCAGTGCTCAGTAGTTGCTGACCCTGCAGGGAAGGGTCCCCTAAAAGCCACCCACAGTGCTGGGTGGCACCGTGGTGACGTCCTCCCGGCTAGCGCGCGGCCAGCTGCTTCCAGTTCGCCTTCGGTTCAGCCGCTTTACGGGTCACAACTGGGAGAGGTCCGGAGCGTTTGTGGCAGCTCGGGGGATCCGGCGCAGCCCCAGCGAGGCAGCGGCCGCCTTCCCCACGCTGGTGGCTTCCACGGGAAGGGAAAACCAGGGAAAAGCACCACTGCCTCGGCGCCCCCGAGCACCAAACCCCGCAGGCCCGACCGTTTTGGTCTAGGTGCGAGTTTTTTGGTCCACCGTTTTACCGATGACCAGTAAACGAAGCATCACCTGTGGGGCC